TAAACGATTTATATTGTTATGCACCTGCAAAGTCATTTTTTTCAATTTGTAGACTCGGAATCTTACGGATAATATTTTCCATCACCTAACTGCTGCGAGTGAAACTAACCAAAAAGTTGATATAAAAAGACCATTAAACAAATTACGAGAGTTACCACTACCTCCAATATCATCAATGCAAACTCTTCTTCAAAACTCACATCGTCCCCTTCCTCATGTGGTGTTAAGTGATTATGATCGTCCACCTTTCCTTAATAAACATTTTGAGAGTTTTCTTGATACTAGATGGCCTCCATTGGATAATCCTACTGCAGATACAATCCTTCTCGATTTTGCCAACACTCTAGCAGATGCTTTGCATAGAGTAAGTTTTTAACTAGTTCGGCAAAATTCTTATTTATTTTTCATCAAGTAATCCTAAAACTTTTAATGTCTACACAGTTTACTTTCAAGTTAGATATTCACTAAAAATCTTAAAGATTTCTCAGGGAAAAATTCCGTAGTCATAATACTACCCGTGAAACTCCATAATGTTGCAAAATACTGTTATAACTGCAAATTAATTTAGGAGCAAGTATAACTTGTGAAACTTAACAGGAACTAAGTGATTAGCACAGAATATGAATTCAGCTGTCATAGAAATTAAAAGCGAATGTTAATTTTTAATGATCTAACTGAATAAGTCAGGAGAACAATGTATTGTTGACTATTAATTATGGTTTTCCCATAATAATAATTCTACCTGAAACTACGCTTTACTGGGGAATACGATTTGTTGAACGATTTGATATATTATAGTAAATATAGATTACAAACTCCTATGAATTGTTTACTTAACAAACGTTTTGTTAACCACCTTTACTCGCTAGTTGCATAATGTATCTAATAAATAGAATCTCATTAACTTATCAACTAAAGCGTATAAAATATCTTTTGACCTAGTACTTTATCCGGCGAATCGAAATGTACAAATGGTTAGTGTGCTTAGTTTTTTTCAGAGAAATCCATTTCGTCCGTTAAAAATAGATCGTCTGTATGTGCGCACATAAAAGCTTACTACAGAGAGTGATGCAGAACAAATGAATACATGTATCTAGTCATTATTTGTCACCATAGTCAACTGATTTAAACAAAAGTTATAAATCTTTTGGATACCTTATTCAAAGTTTCGTACACTATACGATGATCCATTCAACGTGTAAACACTAAGAACAATTTAGCATGAGGTAATAAACCTTATAAATCAGTAGCTAAAAAATGAGTATGTGACCAAATAATCTGCTCTACAAACTGTAAAGTGCTCTTAACAAGACGTTACTAAGGAATAATGTGGGAATGTGCTGGCGTTCTTGTATATACAGTCGAGTTTTTATGTATGATATGTAGATCTCTGTTTAGTGGTAAAACATACACATCGCCAACTTTGTTTTATAAAAGGTGAAAAAGTACATCATTTTTAATGATCCTTTTCTTAATTTATGGTCACTTTTCTTGAAATTATGTCGGGAATTACTCCAACTTCATACAGCACTTCATAAATTCATAACCTCATGTTTATATTTAACCTACGATCAAACCATTCGGTAATGATTTTACCCATACTTCATGCAAAAATGGGATTTGTTAAGTGAAGAAATGCTTTATTAAGATATTTTTGTTTCAAGTTGGTTTCAACTTGGATTTGATTTTGTTAGTAGCTCATAATCTGTTTACATAGAGTTGAATGTGCTGACTAAACATCAAACTACAAGCCACGGTTATGGTTCGAAATCTAAGGATATTATTTAGTCCCTCAAGACTGAAGGTAAGTCGGTATCCGAACATGCCACTCACTAGTAAAATTTAAGTATCATAGATACAGTTGAACACAATTTAGATAAACTCAGTACATTTAACGTGTTAATCTAAGATATATTAGTAGCGTTTATATCTTAGTTCTAAAATTTTACAACCACATACAGTCTTCTCTTTCTCCATAATCTTACTGAAAGTATTTGAAAAATCGTTTTAGTTTATATATTGTCTGAAGAAACATAGAAATTAGGCATTGTAGTTACATATATGATTTTTCGAAAATTGTTTTTTTCCAGATAGTTTCTGCAAATCATGAACCTATTTCATCCAGCATTGCTTATCCAAAACCTAGTGACATTATGGAATGTTTCTCAACTAATCTGGGATGTGACCTTTTCAAAATGGTAATATTTTTGTGTGTAGTTTGGATAGATTAATGTTTGCATCGTTTTCGAGCGACTTTTAACTAACATTAGCTCAGTGGATTTAAATGTTTCTCTGATCGGGAAGATAGAAGTTGTAATACTCCAGACATCTAATTTACTTTTTCGATTGACAAATATGTTAGTTCCTTTTAGATTTTATCATCTGATGTAATAATTAAAGTGTATTGGTTTTGGTTTAATAACCAGAAGTTAGTTTCGTGGTAATGACAAAGTTATGCCACTTAAACGGGTAGAACATAAAGATCACAAGACATGGAAACTGACTGTTTTGTGTAAAGTGATGAACTCAGTACCTGTAGATTTTGTTGCTATTTACAGCCGAAAAGCTCACGTTATGTTCGGTATAAAAAAGTGCTTAACGTTGAAAAGCTGAAGACTTGATACTTGTTGATGTGAACCACAGTCAGTTTGTCGATTTTTCTATTAATTATTTTCTGACCGAAATTTCCGAATATTATCCACTGGACTGTACAACATTATATAAGCAAATTAGATGAGAATTCTAGGATAATGCATGGATACGCACTTTTACCGTATCTTGAAATATCACTTATTTCTTTTAGGTGATCTAAATTCCACGAACTTTTTGTGAATAGTAGTTTTAAGCAGAAGCACTTACAGCAATGACCAATAACAACTATTAAGGAGTTTAACACATTTACCATTTTTGCTTAATGACATTTCCCGTAGTATATCTTACATACAAAAACTTAAGTACACTCATGCTTAACTTTTTAGACACAAAACGATTAAATTATCTACATACTAAGTCATTGAGATTTAAGTTTCTTACTGATATGTCGAAAACTACTAAGTTTAAAAAGCAAACCAGCACCTTGCTTCAGTCTTTCTATAATACGCCTCTATAACTAATAATTACATGTAAATACGACTAAACTATATACTTCTTTACACTACTGAGGGTTAAAGAACCTACTACTTATATAATACTCAGTGTTGACTTGAACAGTTAATACATATTATCAGGTATATATCCTGGTGTAACTCAGGCATAGACCGTTCATTGTTTATCCCCATAATTACGTTCTTTGCCATGAAGAACCTTGAGTATTTCTATACAAACGTACATACAAATTTAAGATTCTCAAGGACATTACTACATACCTAGCTAAACCACGGGAGAAACATGTCAACATTCTACCTAACAGAAATATTCAAAACCTCAAAATAAACTCGCAGCAAATATTTGACTTGCTGATAAGTTCATTTTGTTTGAGCTAAGGTCTCATGACAGATTACTAAGGGTGAACAATTAATCTTGATTACCTACTACGACAAACTTGAGGGATACATACCAGATATCTAATCCCACCCACAATCTGAAGAAACTTTCAACTGATCAACGCTTCTGAATACTTGGCACTTTCCCACCATGCCTTTTAACCATAGTAACGATCTAGAATCATTGTCTGGGTTAAATTGACTATAGTAATCATTCCAGGGCAAAACCATACTGTCCAATAAGTTTGTAAGAAGTTTCTTCTGATTGTATTCCCTCGTTACTAGAATTTTTTCCTTGATAAGTTATTTTATATATGTTAGTTTGAACCCACTTCCATTTAGTTTGCTCACTTGCAGAATTTCTTCATACCCATTCTCATATTTCCAACTGATCGTGTGTTTTTGTTTACAGTATCTCAGTCCTGTGGACTATAAGTATGTACAAATGTTAAAAACACCTGTACCTGCACAAACCTACCTGCCATTGGGCCTACATGAGATAAAGATATCACATCTAGTCAGTATTCTGTTAATAGGACTAACTGGGGAACGGACTTCAACACCAGCATGTCCACCTTTTGATAAACGGGGTCCTTACACATATTGGATGGGATGTAAGTAAATAATTTTTGTTTTCCTGTTTAGTATTTACTGAGAGTTCATGTTTAGATATATCTCGTGTCCAACATATAAGATAAGAACCTTGGAACTAAAACTCGTTTCAATTGTTTTATTATACTCAAGAACTGGTTTGAAAGCACTTCAGTTACCCACTACATGCATGTAGTTACTATTATCTAATTACACTCGTACTTCTACTCTAATTGTCAGTTTTTATATTAGTGATATGTAAGGTCAATTTTTAGTTGTTATTACAAGCCACGATGTCCCGTCATGTTTTTTGCTGTATTTAGTTATAGCACATCATTTTGATGACGTTAGCTACTAACAACTTACCCGTTAATTCAAAGGAAAGATATAAGATATAAAACGCTAGATATATTCATGTTTACACTTGGCTCATCTCATCAATTTCCATAAACATAACTGGTACAAAGAATGCCTGTCGCGCATATTTTGGATATGCATTCTGATTGCTCAAACAGTTACAGGTGTTCCCTTTCAGTAATCCCACTCTCTTCTTTTTGTACAAAAAAAACAGATTTCAACGGCTCTGAACAATGTTACTTCACACGCATGGACATAACATCACAATTTTTGATGATGGAAAACGAAAAACTCAAAGCCCCGGCCTGGATGCGTAGTCGCGAACATTCTGAAAGGTTCTTGCGCTGGTATCGCGGTGCATCCCCAACGGTTGATGGATTCAGTGTTGCGCTAGGGATTTTCCTCATGACCCTCACACTTCTCATAGCTCTTTACATCAAGGAGGTCATTAATAAGAAAATAATACAAATACCTGCACAAATGGAAATTTTATATACATCTGACAACGAAAATCGTTTCGCACCTACATAAAAATTTTCTGAAAAAGATGTACATACAGAATATATTCTTTTAGACAAATTTCACTTTCTTCGCAGCATTTGATGGGTGTAGAGCACTTCGTTCTTGAGCAACCTTTTGAGCTTTTTCAACCAGACTAGTCAGTTGGCCGTTTTCACCCAGCATCTTGAGAAGCTCCACGATAAGTGGCAAATAGTTGTGTCGACGACGAATATTTTCTGCGCGATACGCTGCAATTTTCTTCTTTTCACTGGCGATATTGTTCATTAGTTCTGTTATGTAGACAGATTCTGGCTACAAAGTAAGCGTAGTAACATGACAGGATTCATTACCAGTATGATATAACTAAGCCTCACATTGTAAAGAGCTAATATGTACCAAATATAGATTGTATTGACCAATACAACGGTATCTAAGTAAAGTAATGGTATCACAGTTTAAGATCTTTCTGAAGTTTCGAGTTTTACAAACGTTACATGAGTAAGTCATACAAATAATATTTTACCCAAACCATGATGAAGGGTTCAAATATGATTAAAAGCTAGTATAAATGCTTGTCATTCACATCTCGTACACTTGATGCAGAATCTTAATAGGAGCTGGAACGTTATACGTACCTAGAAACATCATTGGTAAACAAGGCGAGCCCGATGCATGCATCTAGTGGCAACACCATGTTAGTAACCAGAGGTTCGACAACGTGTGTTTGGGCACAACTAAAACACCGACTTTAGTGGCTTGCACATATACTACGAAAATCATTTCAGCGACTTCCACATTGTGTATTATTTGCGGACACTGAAACTGGTTGTAAAAGGTGGAGAGGTGGTCAGTGTATGACAGTCAGTCACCAACAACGTAAAACAAGGTACGTATGTACATCAGTTCAAGTTGCCATACCACATTAGCACAGAGATACAATTGTCAATTCAAATCCCGTAGTGGTAGAGGTAGTAAAATTATAGGCTGTAATCATAAAAATTAGGGTTTGAAGATGTTATGCAATGAGTATAATCCAGTGAAATAAATTTCGGAAGAGAAAATATAGGACATGAAGAATTCAGAAGATTAGAATTTGGGAGAACACAAAGAGTGGATGCACCTGCGCCATTGCCAACGATTTTGAGCCATGTCATTCAAGGTCTCTAACCATCGGTTGCTATCATCTCGCGGATTCCAACCAGGTAGTCTACACCTACCAACATGGTTCAGTCCACCTGTCAGTGACTTCATGGATTTGTGCTATGTCTTGATTTGGCCGCCCCTAGTTTTCTTCCAACCTACTCCTACACCATGAAACATCGCACGTCGAGGCAGTCGGTGGTTGGGTATATGTAACACGTTTTCTAGCCGTCTCAACTGATGGAGTTTCACTACTTCATCAATTGATTTGCCATCCTTACCTAGTACCCGTTTCCTAACAACTGCGTTACTTACTCGATGGTCCCAGGATATGCAAGCAATATTCCGAAGACACCTGTGATCAAATACTAGTAACCTACAAATATCCTCTACTCTTACCGGCCATGTTTCACTGTCATAAAGTAAGACGGAACGAACTGCTGTGCAGTAAACCCGTTCTTTGGTTGATAGACGGATATCTCGCCTACGCCATAAACGACGCAAGTTGGCAAAAGCCAGTCGAGTCTTCTGTATCCGTGTTGGAATTCGGTCACACACAAGGCCACAAAGCCTGACGGGACTACCAGGATAAGTGAAGTAGTTGAAACGCTCAACTACTTCACTCCCTATCATTAGTTCGGGTGTCCATGCAAACCAATCCTGAAGCAACATCTTGCATTCCGAGGGAGAGAATCGCATCCCGAACATGCTTGCATTGTTGCTTAGAGTGGTCAGAAGACTGCATTTTGTCAGTGTCTTCACCAAATAGAACCATGCCATCGGCATATTCTAGGTCAAAAAGTGAAAATCCCGGTAGAAGTTCAATTCCTGGAAGTTTAGATGAGGAAAGTGTAATCTTTAAAAGCACGTCAACGACAAAGTTAAACAAGAATGGAGAGAGTGGACAGCGCTGACGAACATCACTTGAGGTAATCAATTCTGATGACAGGTCTCCATAAGTTCTCACTCAAACATTTGTGTTCGAGTAGATAGCCTTTATAAGGTTAATGTACTTCTTTGGTACTCCTTTCAGTTACAAACACTGCCATAGAACCTCATGTTCAACAGAGTCGAATGCCACCTTGAGATTGGGAAATACTATTATTGTGGGATGTCTGAATGTGTATCTATGTTCTAGGATCTGACGTAATGTGGATATCTCGTCTATACAGCCACGTCCAGATCGGGGACCAGCCTGGTTTTCTCTAGTCTGTTCTTTATGAGCTTTACTTAGGCGTCGAAGTATTATTGAAGCTAATGTTTTAGACACTATATTAGTCAAACTGATTCCTCTGTGATTGTCACAAGAGGACTTTTGTCCTTTCTTATAGACTGGTACAATCAGTGGTTGAGACCAGTCAGATGGGATTACGTCCAGTTCCCAAATTCTACCTAAGACCTCAGTTAATCTCACTGCTAATACTGAACCACCATCCTTAAAGATCTCAGAAGTAAACTTGTCAGGGCCTGCTGCTCTTTCGCGCTTTAGATTTCCTATAACTTTTTCAACTTCGTAAGGAGTCGGAGGACCTACATTAACTTGCCATTCAGGTCGACTGGAGATCGTGGGAAACCGAAGTGTGGCTGAAGGTCAGTTGAACTGATTCCTAAAGTGTTCTGCCTATCGATCCCATCTCCTGGATTCAGAATGTATAATATGTCCATTTTTCTCTGAGCGTGTTTCGCTAAGAGTTAAGTTCCTAATACCGGTTTCCTTAACAAGTCTGAACAATTGTCTGCTATTACCTATTGCCGCTGCCTTTTCCATCTCTCTTGCTCTCGCTACCCACCACTGTTCGCGATCATTGCGTAGACTTCTTATCAGCTTGCGCTTAAGCTGACTCCGCTCTTCGTTATGTTCAGAGCCAGGTGGGATGAGTTTTCGAGCATCTATCAGTGCGGTAGATGCTGCTGAAATCCAGTGTTACTCCCTAACCTTGTGGTTTACCGTACTAGCAGATATCACTGCCGTTCCCACAGCTTTCCGGATATCATTCCATGCTGCCTCGGGGTGGGCATCACATACATGGCTGCCTAGCTGTTTCTGAAATATACTCTTAGCTTGACTATCATTAAGTAGGACCCTAAGAGGTTTCCTTGGAGTGTCTTTCCTACGTCCAGTAAGATGCTGACAAATACGCGCTCGCACTAAAGCATGATCTGAATCTAAGCATGTGCTCCAGAATGAGCGACAGTCTTCTATCAAGCCCCTCCATCGGTGGCTGATAGCGATGTGGTCCGGATGGGTCCAACGTTGGGACGAATTCGGGTGTCTTCATGTCAAAAGATGTTTTTCCTTATGCTTAAAGCTAGTATTTGCAAGAAGCAGGCGGTTGTCTGAGCATAGGTGCAACAGACGATCGCCATTATCTGTTCTTTGAGCCGCGACACCATAAGATCCATCCAGGTGTCTTTCCCTTTCGCTTAGTTTACCTACTTGAGCATTAAAGTCACCGGCCACTATTACTACATCAGAGTGCCTGAACCTTTTGGAGAAGGTCAGAAAGCTTTCTATAAAACTCATCTTTTACATCATCTGAACTGCAGTTAGTGGGAGTAGGCAACGACGAGTGTTCCTATCTTTCCGAGTCTTTACTGCCCCGTTTAGTCGGACAGCTCACAAGCGACTGTCTACTGGGATCCAGTCTAAGAAAGCTAGTTCTGCCCTATGACTTAATGCTATACCTACACTAGCGAGGCCATGGGAAGCAGAATCAGGGCTTCCAGATACACGAAGTGTGAACCGATGTGGGTCTTTATTTTGATATGGTGAGGTCAAATGAATGACGCTACTCGGATCCTGTATGCGTGTTTGGGAGATGCAGCACAAATCGATGGCGGAAGATTCTAAAGTCCTAGCTAAGGAAGTATGTTGTCCTATTTGTCAGTGTTCAGACGTTTAAAGCTCTTACTTGTAGTTTAGAGCATGGTTTCAGTAAAGCAGGAATAACGTTCCGCGTACTCAGATCGTTTGATCTGGCAGCGCGAGGTGATAGAGGAATGTGAGAAGGATTAGTCGCAAAGATAAGTTATTAGGAGGTGTAGGAAGGATTTGAATGTGACCAACTTGATCTCGTGTGCTGTTTCGGGTATGAGGGCTGATGTCATTTCTCTGCTGCTCACACCATGGAAGGGTATTTCTTGAGGAATCTGAAAAGGAAGTTGGATTAGTGTTGGTCTTAACGACCTGGGAGCGTGACCACAGAGTTCAAGGGACAACTGCATGAGGATGGTCGCGCATGGCCTTTTCGTGGAAGGTTTTTAATGTGTTAGCTGTTCTCCAAAGGGCCTTACCGCCGAAGACGGAAATCCGTGAGGTAAGGAGAGGTGTGACATTTTTAGGGTCGACCCTTTCTAACCCAGTGCTTCCTTGTGTGCTAGAACCTATAGGAACGTATGTTTCAGCCAATATAGCTCGGTTGGGTCATCACAATGGGCAAGCCCGGCCACAACGCCAAGGTAGCAGCTACGGTCGGGCAGCATATGACATGGTGCCGTGGCATGAAAGAGCTGTGCAAGACTGACATTTGTTGTTCCTTCATGACTCCCTGGTTGGGGCCCTAGAAGCAGCGCAACAGCGGCTTGAGGCGTCAGAAATGGCTCGAAGTAGAAGCTAGTGGTAGACCTACTTTCTTTTTTAATTTCTTCATATAAGTGAGACGAACTTCTTAGACTCGAGGAATTCTCTCTAGCTGTTTTTCTTGAGCAAACTACTTCTCCCATTGTTTTCTACTCCCATTCATTTACTTTTTTGCTATACTCACCTTCATTTCTATAGCTCCTCATCTAATTTTCTTGTGTGGGACATCGGTGGTCCTATGGTAAGATGCTTGCCTGTCGCGCGGGCAGTCCAGATTCGATTCCCGGCCGACGCACACTTCGTCCCCAAACGCCCTGGAACGGGCGAGGGTGGGAAAAGTCTTCTTTCCCTCTCGAAATGTCCTCACATGGCCACGTGTGTCCAGCTACTCAGTCTTTTCGCGGCGGGTATGGCGTATGAACCAATTGTTGGTCACCGGCTACCATTGGGACTGCATCTCCTTACGATGCTCCACTGCCTTGTGGATCAGACCTTCAGGTTGAAGGCTCCGGGCGTGGCCCCCTAAGAAAACCACCTGCTTCGGTTTGGGAACCCGGGCAGTATCACAGTTCTCACACAAATCAAATGAGATTTGTGTGGCGCATATGTATTTGGTTCCTCCTTGTACCAATATCTATGTGTTAAAATAAATAAAATAAACTTGTATGTGACCGGTAACTAGTGAAAACATAAACTAACTCACTAAACGATGTAATCAGAACTTAACGTGCTTCGAATTTAACTAGCATTTCCAAGATTCCCAGAGTTACTTTCGTAACCCTTCCAAAACTTGCAAGAAAGAAGGGATGCTCTTTATGCTGTCACAAGTTGGAGATGTCAGTCTCTGTTCTTCTAAGCGTGAATATTATAACTGACTAAATGAATGACAAATGATATGTGTAATATTCAGTGAAATAAGTGGTTATCGACTAACACTGAGTTTCAAAAACACAGAATATTCATCTGTTTGTGTTTAACAGCTGGATTTATACATGGATTTCTTTCTAGTCAAAGGATATCAACAATGTTTGAAATGTGCTCGTAAATGTTTCATGCCTGATATGGTGTAATGAATGCTTCGTTTTGACGATAACTCTAATTCCTCGAGAAACACTTAACTATTAGAGATATCTACTGGACGTTAAACAAATTTGGCAACAAATTATGGAGGTTGTAACTGTCAAATATGAAAGGGTTTCAGGTAAGAATTTTCTGGATACAAATTGGTTCACTAAATTAGCATAGCTTAGAATAATTCGGAGATATGTATTTGCACTAATCCCTCAGCATCCCATTTTGGATTTGGCTCACTGAGTTGTATTTTGCTCACACTTTCATAATTTTGATTTGCAGATACTCAAAAAAGGTAAACGACTTCCCGAGTGACTCAAATGAGTTCTCACAGAATCTTAATTTTCTGTTGAGAAACCGTAACCTGGTGTGAATATATTATCCTTGTTTCGTGGTTTTAAAAAAAGGGAGTACTGAAAGGGGAGAACAATTACAACTATTACGTATGGTAGAGTTCTTTGAAAATCCTGTCAAGTAAGGAAGCGATGTTCTCAGGATAACGCTTCAGTTTGCGTTCACGTTCGCAGTTTTCAAGACTACAACTTTGTCAAGTGACAAGAAAATGGTCGCGCAAATGGTACCCACTGAAACGTAAAATGTACAGACTTACATCACTTGAGTCCTTTTTATATTGTGCCAACTGTTTTTCGTACATAGCAAGTCGATTAGGGACTACTGCCATTATATTGAACTTTCCGTCTACACATTTCTCCATACGCTTCATTAGCAACGGACGAGCCGAATCTATCCAAGATGAATTTTCAGGTAGTTTTCCGTGATCAACAGGGCCGGGTTTTAAGCCATCTAATTCGTACAAAGTACCATTAATAGGAACATAACCAACAAAATGGTAAACGTCTTCATTTGACTTAGGGGTCTTCTCATCAAACTCGAATAACTGATAACTAATTACATATTAGCAACACGAAGGAAAATTACTTGCTAAAGCTGTTATGTACGACTCTAATTTGGTCAGAATTGCTTATAGCAGTACCCTTCATCTAGAGAAACTTGTTAGGGAGACATATTTCATACTGTACTGTCAAAGTCTGACACAAAAGACTTGAAATCAGACAACGTTGGACCAATGGGAACTTTGTCATCAATATTTAGCAAGATATTAATAATTGCTTGAGTCGCACAAGCATTTGAAATTGTCTAACAGAAATGTTTGAACAATCATTACGCTACTTGTTTCGCAAAAAATATGCCCCTGTTATTTGCGTCAGTTACCACTTTTCCAACATTATCTTGTTTGTCATCGTAGTTAAATAGGAAAATAAACCCAAGTGCGTCAGACACGTTGCTTGTTTCTGTCAGATCATAAACTTCTTCGCATTCCAAACTTTCTACACCTAGAAACTATATTAAGCAGTGTGCTATGACTAACCGAAACCTCTAATAAGTTCAGTGAATACTCCAGGATCGCTTTCTATTAAACACCAGTTGCCACTACTTGACATTGATTGAATTCGGCCTTCAGAATGAATTTCCCTGATACAGAAAAAGTAAAATAAACTCACTATTTAGTGAGGCATACTGTCATGAACTACCGTTTCCTTCAGATAAAAAGCTCAAAATTTATAGATCAAACTGTTTTGGCACAAAAATTATGTTTATGCGCACTGCATATTCTTGTTATCAGATGTACAAGAGTATCTCACCAACCATGGTATAAGGTCGCTCGACCTGTGATAATGCTTGCAGCTTGTTTCTAAGTTTTCACTGATCGAGTTGATACCACTTATTCGGGTAGAGCTCTCCAGTCATTGACCACTCGGTGAGAAAACCGGAATCCCGCCCCGAGTTTATTTGATCGCGGTTTTTGAACCCTCTCTCAGCGGTCTCACATATGATTAGTTTCAATGGTGGAAAAGGATAAAGCACATTCACACCCAAATCATTATTTAAGATCCATAGTGCTAATATAAGGTCACCTCGCGTTTTACGGTAAGATAAAGCGAAATGGTGTGAAATTTTGGTTTCTCATCATAGGAGAATCAGGAAACCTCGTTGACAACTTAGTTTTTACACTTTAAAAATGGTCAAGTGTGGTAGCAACCTTGATAAAACATGGACTAGCTGCTTGGATCCATTATTGCAAGTGGACTATAAAGTCTGAAATACGTCTTCATCAAGGCGTTCGAACGCTCAGCGAAGTGACCATAGCACTCGGAAAGCTTTGGCACTTTCTTCATTGCAAGACACAGTTGTTTTTAAGTCGCAACCCATTATTACGCATAGGTCTTTTGTTTCTGTACGCGTGGAAGCGGTTGATTATTACTGTCTCACGACAACTCGTCAATTTGAACCCATATTGAGGATTGTGTTCTGTGAGAATTCTGAGCCAGCTTTCTCAATGAATAACCGTTGGTTTATTAGGAGTCTGTTGTAATTTTTAAAATTTTTAGTGCGTGTGTAAGATGCTTCTTTGTGAATTACGTGAAGTTTGGAAACAATTATATTATCTACTCCATTCTAAAGCTATACCAGCATTATTGGTTCATTACATATCGCACCGTTTTTGATATTTTTCCTTTATTATCCTTTTCCTTTCTTACCTCATAAGTTTATTTTGATTTTTATACTTCACACCTCAATATGCACAAATGTTTAGTTGTCAGATTGTTCAGAGCATACTGTGGTAGTGTAACACATAGATCTGAGAAAATTTGTTTTCTTGCTAAATTATCCGAGTTTATACAGTATATCAAACACTTAAAAATGTGAAGTTGTTAACATGATAGCAGTGACGGTTCTCTCAAATGTGGGTCTGCCATCAAAGTAGCCAAAGTTCTTGAATTTGATTAAGTGATGGTCCACGGTACTGAGTGTGATGCATGGTAGTCACACCATTTCCGTTCAACTTCAGTAGGCTCCGATCCTCCACACAAATCACCTGCGTTAGTGATCTACACGGCCATGCGAACTTGGTTACTGTCAACCCTCAACTTTAAAGCCTGCGTTATATATATTTTTTATTGGTAAAGTTTATTTCTATTTGACAGAGGTTCTAGAAAACCTCACATTCTTCTGTTACAGTACCATCAGTTTTTACGAACGTCTTGAGGTTTCGATATAAAATAATATAAATGCAGCAGTCATCATTGTTATTTGATTATATTATACTGGTGGTGTAGTACATACGTCCGTTACTCCACGTGAGGAGCATAGGCTGCTCATCAGCATCCTTCATCCAACACTGTCCCCAACAATCCTTTCCAGCTCTTTCAAGTTGTTATTCATCCTTTTCGTATCTGCTTCTCTTCTCGACGTAATGTGTTCTTTGGCCTTCCTCTTTTCCGCTTCTCTTCAGAATTCCAAGTTAGGGCTTGCCTCGTGATGCAGTTTTATGCTTTACGTAATGTATGTCCTATCCATTTCCATCATCTTTTCCTAATTTCTTCCTCAGCTGGAAGCTGGTTTGTTTGTATGCGAGAGGAGGGCTAGGTCATCTGTGAAGTCCAAATCGTCTGAGCTGTCCATTGTGCTCCGTGTTTCTCCTCAGGTGCCTTCATAATCCAGTCCACCACCAGAACAAAGAGAAAGAGAAAGAGTAGAGAGCCTTGTCTGACTCCGGTCCTTACTTGGAATGCATCTATCAGCTGTCCTCCATGTACTACTTTACACTGTAGTCTGTCATATGAATTCAGGATAATGTTGACAATCTTCTCAGGAACTCCATAGTGTCGAAGAAGGTTCCATAAGCTTTTTCTATCTTCGTTGTCAAATGCCCCCTCATAGTCATGGAAGTTGATGTATAGTGACGAGTTCCACTCAACTGATTGTTCGACGATGATCCGTGGTGTTGCAATTTGGTTTGTGCACGATCGATCCCTACGGAATCCAGCTTGTTGATCTCGAAGTTGGGCGTCTACTGTATCTTTCATCTGGTTCAGCAACACTGTTAAGGACTTTCCCTGGTACTAACAGTAGTGTATTGGTGGTCTAGTACCATAAATTTATTAGATGATTCCGATTCCAGACTTAAGTCTTATATACTCTACCAGATTAGCCTCGTCGTAGATCAAGCAATTTAACTTTTATTCATGTACATATAAAACACCTATATTCAACGTGCCTAGTAGAAATCTGTTTTTTGTCATTTCTATTTCGTAAAGAAACTTGCATGTAATAAAAAATGCAATATAATACAAAAAGCAGATCAAGAAAACAGGCATACGTTTCCACTAGTGTGACCGTGAAACTCCAAATTTAATCTTAGTTATCGTCAGGTTTGATTTACTTAGCTAAAACAATTTCATTAGGCACAACATTGAATCTCAGGAAATTTGACACCAAGGTATATGCCTGTGCTATCTCCCTAAGTTGCTACAAACGCTCACGATTTTTTGAGTTTCCACACATCAAAATCGTGCACATTTATGGGGCATAAGGTAATGAACGGTCTGTGTCTGCAATACGATCGAAGGATAACTCGCCATCACAGCTCCCAACTCATTGTCATATATTGCTTAGCGAAAATGCCGCGTGTGGGGCGATCCTGAAACATAGATGATTACGAGCTGTCCAGTGCTACTTCGAACACCGTTTTTCCGCACAAGACGACAACACCAGTGTGAGTAGTTTACAAGTGTTGCATACAAGATTTCTTCCATATGGGTTCTTTACGAAAAACCACACGAAATGCATTAAATCAACCAGACTAGAACTCATCACAAGCGTAGAAAGTCTCATAAAACTTGCTGCTGAAGGAAAATAAATAACGAAATCCGGAACAACTTACCATAAGGACAAAGGCTAATGTCAGGTTATAAGAGTCTAGACGTTAGGTACTGTCCGTTTAACAACAGGTCTTTTGTAGCTTGTTTGTTGACTTCAGGGAGGGAATTGTCCTACGACATTAAAGCAACGTATAAAAAATCAGAGGACAACAATGACTGTTATCCAAATGTTGATTGTCAACAACTTAATATGAAAGTCACGCCAGATATTTACCCCTTACTTCACATCCGTGACTCAACATCTACCGTAAAGCGTACAACTGTCCTTTCAAAACTCGTCTTCAATAAGGTGTATAGCCAAATTATCTTAACTGTCGACGAAATTCCCAAGACGGCTATCATGACTACTTGATCGCAAATGCAAACAGAGGATCCCATCTCCAGCATTTGGATTTGTTTATCGTTGACCACAATAATATGGCATTATTGTAAACGTTCTGAAACATGAAACAGCAATTAACTGTAAATTGTGATCGATAAACAAGCCTACGAATGATATCATGAAACACTCACAACCACATTAGCTTCCTTCGACCTTGCTTTTTCATCATTCACAATTTTATATTTATCATAAAACAATGTTCGCTTTGTTGACTCATTTATTATATCCTCTGGTTACTGTTCTGTGTGTTATTTATGTCTCTCTTTTTCCCTGTTTAATGGGCAGTATTAACAATCTAATTTGTTTACTAATGGTGTTCATTAACGTCTTAGAAACAGATAAAGTCTATCATCCCGTAGAAAACAACTGTGCTAAAAGACGCTCGCCAGAATAAGCAAATTAAGCAATTTAAACTCCACCCTGGTAGTTGTAGGAAGAATTATGATGCCTCGCGATGAGAACCGATATTCTTCAGAAGTTACGAGGTCCGGGTCCCTCCTAAAAAACAGAAACAATTTTTACGAGTATGTAGTGTGAGGACAGTCCACAAGTGAACCCGAGGAAACCCTGAGAAGAGCCGAAGATATTCCATCCAATCATCGTTTGGTAGAATATTCCAAAACCCCTATGTAGAGCTTCTCTATTGAGCAGATGCTAATAACCTTCTGTATGCGGGTTGGAGGACTACAATGATGATTTCGTTTTTTACTAAAGATTAAACATACCTGACAGTTTGTACCATAATTGATACTGTTTGGAGTAGAGTTCCTTTCACTTGTTTTCTGTCTTCTTATTTGTGATTTGGAAGTTTTCCAGTGTCTGAGTGCTCACGCTATGCGCGGTACATTAAGGATCTGAGCTCTAGATATAACACATGAAATATCCGGACAATATGGGAGAGCGGAAGGACCAGTCAAATGGTTATAGAATTAAGGAGATCCAACTTGGCAGCTCTGAAAATCGGTGCAACACATTGTACTAAGCTGGACAGGGACGGATAAATTCGGAAGATATGCTGCTGTACTCTGATCATGGAGAAGAAAATTCTCCGTGCAGTCAGTAAATTGCTATACTGCTGTCCAAACAAGCAGGTATCGCACTGATAGGACGGGAATCTCATGAATCTAAGATCATCAAAGTATCCTTCACAACCAAGAATGAGGGGATCACAATCAACGTTATCAAATATTATGCACCCATCAATGATAGCAGTGACAACGATAAAGGTCATTCCTACGAAAGACTGCAATCGATCATACTCAAATGCGCAGAAAAAGACCTTGCTGTTTTGATGGTAAGAATGGAGATATCATGGGACGACATGTACTGACTGGGA